ATTACGATATTATTATTCGACTTCCAGGCATCATCGACACACAGGCCACAACAACCAGTCATACCCTGTTTGTACCTTGGAACTCACGATACTTGATAGATCCACCTGCAGGCGCATGAACGGGACCGGATATCAACTCGCCTATTGAGTACCGCCGCCTGATTAGCGCACAGTCAGCACTCACGCGAACGTTGTATGCACCGAATCGCGTGATCCGGCGCATTGGTTATTATTGCGAGCGCACTGGCTACTCCTGAAGCGCCCAACTAGCCCACGATAGTGCCCAAACAACACAATATCATCATGAATCCCTCTCAAGACGCCGGCCCCTCTCGTCAGGCCAATTTCGAACTCGAGGATCAGATGTCTACCACTCCCGGCAGGAAACGCGTTGGTTGGCATGCCGAAAACCCCGCTGTACGAGCAACACAATCACCCGAGGACACAGGCTCTGCTGGACAAAACACCCCTCTCGTGCGGAATGATGTATCACATGATGATCTCCAGAAGATCCGTGCCTCGCTACGCTTAGCTCTTGGAAACGAACATCTACCAGAAGAGGTTATCCAGGAACCTATCACTGCTCCAAAGGATGTACAGAAACCCCGACCAGCCATTCGGAAGCCAGGCCCTCGGACTCCGCCCCCGGAGTTCTACCTCAACGACCAACCAAATCCATTCGACGACCAGAATGCGGCGGCGACGCCTTCAGTGCACCAAGAGCTCAAGGAGAGATCTGGACTCGCTGCTCAACGACGTGCGGCAAGATTGTCGAAGTCAGTGGGCACTTACTCTGCTCCAGTATCCCGGCGAAACTCCAAGGAGCTGGCTTCTCCACCAGTTGAACTCCAGAACTTGTCAAAGCAGTACGAATCAGTCGGCGAAACGACTGACGACGACGATGAAGACCCGCAGTTCATGAAGCGCGCATCCATGCTCCTTCGTCAGCACACCATACGCGCTGCTAATGGACAGCCCGCATTGAGTGCCGAGGATCTTTACCATACCGAAGCTCCACTACGGTCGGGCCAGGTGACACCAGATGCTATGGAGGTTGAGGACGAACACGTCGTTCGTCCTACCAAGTACCGGACAGGAGTATTGGGTACCCTAATGAAGATGTCTAGTAACGCAGCGCCACCTTCGTCATCTTCGTCATCACGCCGACCCATCCATCACCGAACCCTCAGCACCAGCACGTTCAGCGGAGCTTCGACTGCTGCAAACTCACCCAACCCCTCGCCGCCAGCTTCCGGATATTCCACTCCGCGTGGAGGCCGTCCTTGGTTCCGGAGTCACTCCAACAACCAGTCCGCAACCTCCATCTCGCACTTGGTCGGATCGTCGGCGCACAGCTTTGCGGCGCCTGCACAACAAGAACTGGGCCAGGAGTATGATCAACAATACAAGAAGACAGCTGCGCGCCCTGGCATGGGCAAGCGATCCAAGTCGGATGAGTCCATACTCCCATTCAAGAAGAACAAGAGGAAGGAAGAGGAGATCAAGATCAAGATCCATCTCGCTGGTACACTCGCGCGTCAGAACTATCTCCGCAAGTTATGCAAAGCGCTCATGATGTACGGAGCCCCCACTCATCGACTGGAAGAGTACCTGAACATGTCGGCTCGTGTCTTGGAGATCGAAGCACAGTTCTTGTACATGCCTGGCTGCATGATCGTTGCTTTCGATGACTCCTCGGTCCACACTAGTGAGGTCAAGCTCGTCCGAACCAGTCAAGGTGTCGATCTCGGTAAACTACATGACGTCCATGAGATCTACAAGGACGTGGTACACGACAGAATCGGCGTCGAGGAAGCCACACCTCGACTGGACGCCATCATGGGACGCAAAGCGAAGTTCAACAAATGGCTTCGCGTGCCCATGTACGGTTTAGCATCTGCAACTGTAGGGCCCTTCGCTTTCCAGGCTCGATTCGTCGATCTGCCCTTCTGCTTCCTACTAGGTTGCCTCATTGGTTGGCTCCAACTCGTCGTCGCACCCGGGAACGACCTTATCAGCAACGTCTTCGAGATTGGAGCATCGGTCATCACTAGCTTTGCAGCACGCGCCCTTGGATCCATTCGACACGACGGCAAAGAAATCTTCTGCTTCAGCGCCATGGCCCAGTCTAGTATTGCCCTCATCCTACCCGGTTTCATGGTGCTTTGCGCATCGCTGGAGCTCCAAAGCAAGCACATTGTCGCTGGATCTGTGCGCATGGTCTACGCTATCATCTACTCCCTCTTCCTTGGTTTCGGTATCACGATCGGCACTGTACTATATGGCATGATGGACCACAATGCCACCTCGCGCACCACATGCCATGAACCTATGTCGACCAACTTCTATTATCTCTTTGTTCCTGCATTCGCCATCTGCCTGCAAATCGTCAACCAAGCCAAGTACAAGCAGATGCCCTCCATGACCGTCATCGCTTTCATCGGTTGGGTTGTCAACTTCCACAGCTCAAAGTACTTCAAGAGCAACGCGCAGGTCAGCAACACGCTCGGAGCACTGGCTATCGGTATCGCCGCCAACGCTCATGCTCGCTTCGGTCGTCACATCGAGAACTGGGGACATGACACCTGGGAGAACAAGCTGCGACCCCACTTCGTCAAGGTGCGAAAGATGTGGCAGAAGAAGAATCACGGACCGCTCACGCTCCGTACGCAAAAGGTCGAGCGATCGGCTTATGACCCAACCCACACCAGCAGTGGCCACACATCACGAGCTAGCTCAGTCAGCGACTTCACACCTCACACTCGCAAGATCGGCTACGGTCTTGCCGCAGCCGCCATGTTGCCAGCTATCTTCGTACAAGTTCCGTCTGGACTCAGTGTCCAAGGCTCTCTCGTATCGGGTCTGACCTCGGCTGACCAGATCGTGCGCAACCAGACTGGCAACGCTACGACAATCAGCAGCGCCGACGTTGGCGGCAGCACAAGCATCAACTCCATCGCCCTGGACGTTGGTTTCTCCGTCATTCAGATTGCTATTGGTATCACAGTAGGCTTGTTCCTCGCTGCGCTTATCGTTTACCCGTTGGGTAAGAGAAGGTCGGGACTGTTCAGCTTCTAGGAGAGGTTGATCATATCACCGGCCCTCTTGCACCCATCGCTCATCACCTTTCTCTCCTTTCAACAAGTTATTCACTGTAGTTCCCTCAGCACACCAAAACGCATTTCTTTTGTTGTCGTGTTTTACCAGCAAGCGAGTCTAGCATTTGCAGGAGTCGGGTTTGCTATTTTTACATATATAGATGCAGCTTCTGCGAAGCTACGAATAAGATTAGATACACGATTCTCGTATAATGTATTACTATCCTCGCCGCTCGTGGGCTGGGCCTTCCAAACAATGCCGCTCTTCCCGGATATGATGATGTCATCAGGGTGCGCTACCGTATATGGAATAGCGCATCTTGGCACTCTTGTCTCAGATCGTCATCGCTGACGGTCCAACGCTTCGGACTCTCGTAGCAGATTGTGGCCATTACTCGTATGATATCAACGCGCACCTCTGCGCAACATGTCTTCAGATTCGAGTCCTGTCATACCGCAACACAGCGTGAGTGTTGGGGTGCCGAGGCGCATTGCTACCCCGCATGCTTGCATTTCCAGGACTATTGACATCCAGTAACATGCCAAACACGTACCCACACGGCGCCTTAACGTGTACTTTGCGGCACGCCGTGGCTGAACGCACGCCTGAAACCTGGTTCATGCCACGTAACGTCGAAGCCAGGCATGCAGACATCGGTGTCGGTGGTTGGTAGCTCCAGATTACAAAGCTCGCGGGCTACATGTCCGACCTCATGCGCAACGACTCGATACTAAAGTATCGTGAACACATACATTTTCATCACGAGCATCTCACCTGACAGCTTTCCAACTCACTCCACAACCGCCCAACATGACAGTAACACAAATAATCCACTTCCGCGCGCCCTCCGCCTCGGAAGCCGACGCAGCAGCCCACGCCGCCGTCAAAGCCCTCAAAGGCGCCAAAGCCCCCGAAAACTACGTTCTAGGCACCCAGACCCAGGACAAGCGCAACCTGCAATTGACATCGGAATGGCACGACCCCAAAGCCGAGTCCTCCAAGGAAGCAAACACGTACCGTGAGACCGTCATCAAAACCCTCGGAAACCCCGACAAGATGTTCCACGTCACTTTCAAAGATGGCCAGTCCGCCTTCGACAACAACGGCCCCATGTCCTCTCCCTTGGTCGAATTCGTGCAAATCTATTTTCCAGCCAGCAAGATCAACGACTCGTTCAGGAATAAGATTGAGAAGGATTTTAACAAGTTCAACGACATTTGTAAGAAGGCTCTGAAGGGGAGTGGTGGGCTGACGTATGGATGGGTGATGGAGGAGCTGGAACACAAGGATGTGAAGAAGGAGAAGGCGAAGTGCTTTTTTGTGGCGAGGGGGTGGGAGGGTATGCAGTATTTTGAGGAGGCGGTTAAGAGTGAGGAGTATAAAGAGGCGATTGGGATTTTGTTGGCGTGGGAAGCGCCGTGGGAGTTGTGGCATGTGAAGAGGGAGTATTAGGCGGGGAGAGGATGGGGGCTAGGATGTGGCGGGGCGTGACGCACAGGTATGAGCCGAATATATCCCGCGGTCTCAAATCGCAATTCCCGTTACCATCATGTGATGCGGACGTCGTCTGTGAGTCATGGTATGGGTCATCGTAGTACCATGTGATCGCGATGCATGTCCTGCGACCACAGCCCTTTTACGTGAAAATTTGGTGTCGTTAGAATTACAGTCAATGTGGATGAACGGCGCACCACCCGCCTTCGCTTTGCAGTACCGAAGGCTCGCGTTCTACAAAATAATTTTTCGAGCTAGACGTCTACGTTGAATCAGAGACTACCTATCCGTCATGATATGACAGTGTGTATACAGCAAAGCTGAACAAGCTGTGTCATACGTTAGGAGATGTTTCTAAGAGCCAGACGTCTACAATGCCTTGCAAACCCTCTACTTCTCATTATGTAATGGTATGTATGCAGCAAGACATGACACATACTTCAGCTATCTCTAGTGCCGATGCGTTATCTGAGATGGCTTGGTTGGATCGCTACTCGCTTTGCGTCAGCGCAATACCACTGGGAAAAGTGGATAGATTGAAGTTTACCAAGGCGTCGCATCGGCGCTCAGGTCCGAGCCACAGGCGCAGCAAGACATTACACATACTCTATCTATCGCCATTGTGGGTGCGTTTTATTCGGGAGGGCTCAATTGGATGTTGCTCGCTCTTCGTTATCGCAGTACCAGTGGGCGAAGTGGATAGAATGGACTGGACCAAAGGTATCGCATGGGCGTTCTTAATGTGAGTCAGAGGTAGGAATCGTATATAAGGGCTGCATCCCTGGCTTTTCTACTTAGACATCTTCAGCATCAGACACTATTGAAGACCTTGACGCTAGTACCAAAACACATCCGCGAACTACAGTTATCTACATTCGCTCGACTAAGACGCAAGAACGCAACTACAAAGTGCTACTGTACTTCCATCTCAACACATTCAACATCATGGCCAACATCAAAGATCTGCAAATGCAGTGCAAGATTACCGAGCTGCGCAGCGCTGAGTTGCAGGAAAAGTCGCATCGAGAAAAGATGTTTTGGACTACCCTGCACAAACGTTTCGGCACTACCAAGCCAGAAGTCAGCAAGGAAGAGCTTATTGAACCAAGAATTGCGCAAATTAAGCGCGTACAAGACGCAAGCGCAATGCCGCATACGTCTTCAAGCATTGCCTACATAAACATGAGCATGGAGTTGAGCGACATGCTTCCAACAGAGCTCCGCGACATGATATACGGAGAAATCATGCCAAGTCATGTCAAAGTCAGAAAAGCCGAAGCTGGCGGCATATTTTTCGAAAATGAGGAAGATGGAAAACGCTTCGACCTCGCTGATCACGAGGGCTTAGGCCCAGAGATATACCTAGAGTTCGTTGTGCGCTTCTATCGCACGGCGCAATTTACATTTGAAATTCCAAGTGAAGAAGAGAACATAGCCCTGTTTCTCGCTTCAGACACGTCTGGACTACAGCTCGATCTGAAGAAGCTAGTCTCAAAAATTTCGCTTGATATCAACGAGCGCCACTTCACAAAGATGGAGGAGGCAGGGCATGAGTTCGCCTTCGATACTCCGTATACAAGGGCTTCGCCGCCAATCACAGAGCTATTGATGCGGCATAAAGCCCCCAAAATGGCTCTCAAGCGGCGTCTCGATTTCCTCACCACTTTGCTGCCGATGGATAGCAAGAGCCGCATCTTGTCAGTCGCCATAGAATACGACGTAAGACACAGGAACTATCTGCTCAACATCATACTGCCGATCCTCCAAAAGCTCAAAAGCAAGGGCTGGAGACTATGCCTGAAGCTTGAGGATTACAAGACAGCGTTGGGTCGGTGCGCGAACTTTACTGAGGACACATTGGTCTTTGAGACAAAAGGGTGCTTGGAGGGTGTGCAGAAATGGCTTCAGGTTAGTGAGATGGATGCATTATGCATGATTGATACTGACTTGGTTAAATAGATGAATGAATGAACTGGGATGATGTGTTTATACATACTCTGATTAAGGAGGGGAATGAGACTTTCAGGGCTACTTTATATAGGGCAATGAAAACCACCCGGACGTCTACATCACCTCCCAGAGTGTGTGAAGATTCGTTTTAGTGTTGATGTAGACGGCAAAGCACGCTTCTCCAACGCAACACCCCACCGCAACCTACAAGCCCTCCTCGAACACCCTCCGTGACCCCGCTATACCCTCCACACAGGTACAAACCGCGTCTTTCCGACCAGACTCACCACACTTCCCACAAGCCGCCCTCCACTGCGCCTCCACAACATCTTCCGGAAACTCATGCAAGATCGAGAAACGCACATTTTGCGCAAATGGCACAGGACTCTTATACATCGGCAACGTGTGCATGTGGCACCCGCCCGCCGCTCCAGGCCGATCAGGGAATTTTTCGTGGCGCAGCAGACTCCAGATGCGGGTTTCCTTGATGTAGTGTTCCGGGTCGACAACGTTCCTGGTGAAGCAGTGGATGCAGTCCATGTTAAAAGCAGAGATGGATAGAGATGTTGTCGTGGAGGCAAAATGTCCAGGTATACCAGTCGAGAATTTCGCGAACTCGGTCTATGCTCGATCTCACTTTGTCCGGAGGCATTTGAACGGTCATTGTACGCAGGCGATTCCGGCTGACCAGACTGCACTCGGCGTAGAACGCCTTGAAGATTCTCTCATAGTCATCATCGAGCCAGCGACTATTTCCATGCGGTATAAGAGAGAAGGAAATATCGTTCAAGCTCAACAAGAGCCCACGTGTCTCTGCGCGAGTCTGATGGCAGACTAAGCGAAGGGGATTGCAATCACCGGGTTTGAAGATAGCGCCGTCGTAACCCTCGGCTGGCCGCTCACTGTACTGGAAAGGCTGGAGACTCGGCGACCATCGGAAATGCCCGGGATCATGTCGGAAAGGTTCTGAAGTCGCAACAAGGCCATCCTCATATGTCAAGGCGTACGTGTGGATGATGTCTCGTATTTCCCGAGGAAGGTTCAGATAGTGGCATACGCCGCTGGGATCTGGGGTATTGGCTGGGTGGCTTCGAAGCCGCAGAGGCTGCTCGTTCCTTGAAGTGGGCATAATCTTGGCGTGTGTTCGTTGAACGGAAAGTTGAGGCTGGTGGAGCAGTCGTATGTGGTTATAAGTAAAGTAAAGCTCAGGCTATAGCGTTCACGCGCCGAGATCTTGGAGCTTTGATGGTTTGGCAGTCATTCACAGCAGCGGTGATTCCGGGAGTGGCGACAGTCAAGGCTCCTACGCTTCTTGGTCGACCGATTACTTCTCTCGAGAGATAAGAACCCTTCTCAACCCTTCGGTTTTACCAGCGCGCATTATCAACCTCCGACTTTTCACCATCACCATGGGCTGTTACATCTCCTCATTGTCATCGCTAGCATGGAACTCGCCCTCGCCAGAACCAACGGGCCCTTCACCGCTTCTTGATCTACCGTTAGAGCTGCGCACCATGATATATGAATACGCTCTCTACTACGAAGATGGGCTGTCAATGGTGCCTTTGACACGACGTTCCACAAGTGCCATCACACTTCGCCCAAGCAACACCGCCGATGGCCGCATCACAAACCCCCTCAAACTCATCTGTCGCCAAGTCCGCGCAGAGACGCAAAAGCTCCCTTTGAAACTCAACATAGTCCACGTCGATGATCACACTCAGCGACTAATGTATAACCAAGAAATGTGGCACTTCGTCGGGGGTCTGGACTATGGCGTGTATCGTCATGGATCCATTCGAAGACTGTTCGTTCAGGTTCCATACGACCGCAAGTTGGACCGTATGTTGACGGTAATGATCTGGCCGGGCCGAAACAGGTTTCAGCTTTCCCTGAATGCATGGGTGGCGTATGGCAGAAGCCATCCGTTGTGTGAGGTTCAGTGGGCGTACGATCTACGGTCATGTGAGGCGTATCGGCCAGAGTTGGTGTTGATGTGGATGGCAGCCCTGGAGATCGTCATTACTGGCGAATCCCTCATTACACTATCTGAGAGAGAGAAAGCGTTTTGGATACCGGGTGCGCGAAATCTTCTAGAAGGTTGTCTAGACGAACACACTGGTGCAGTCGCGTTACCGACCAACTTTCGAATATGTATCAATGCGCCGTTTGCCGAGGACATGGTCTTGGCGAGATTACGGCAACAACGGGAAACAAGTTCATTGACTGATCTCCAAGTTCAGAGGATGGTGGAACAACTCAAAATAGTCCATGAACAGGGAATTCGGGGACGCGAAACAACAGCGATGCGCGAAGCAAAAGACCAAGGACTGTTCGGTAGAGAGCTCTAAGAGCGCGATCAAGGTCTTGGTAGGAGGTGACACAGCTGCAAAGGGTTCGGAGCGGATGGTCGAAAGATACAGATAAGAAGGGCGCTGCGCCTAGATAGAATTTCCGTTGACATAAGCGCAATATCGTTACCTTGAACGTTCACTGTCTGCTCTCATGAGGATTGACCGTCGTGATGTTTTCAAAGTCATGAGAGCTTCGACCGAGTAGAGAGATTCGCGTTACTCGCATACCTCAGGCGTACAACCGCCCCGGAATAGGCATCTCAACCGGGAAGCTCGTAAAGCAGCAACGGCCGATCGGCTCATCCCCATCCTCGCCCGCTGTCCCATGTGTAACAGCACCCCACTGTACCGGTAAAAGACTGGCGTTGACATCTTCCGGCGGCGCATGACACGCCGCGCTAATAGCAGCAGAACAGCTACTAGCCAGAGGTATACCAGCTGGATACCAGAACCTGCTGATGAGGAGACCGCCAGCTGCGATAGTGAAACCCACGATCGTAGTCAGGATGATCGCGACGGGGGAATAGCCACATGTTGAAACTTCGCTGGCGACTTTGCGCGTATGCATGTCTGTGATGGAGATCTGTACTTTGAATATGCTTTGTGATGCGAGCCAGTGGAAGAGACCTGACATGATGGTCATAGGAATGGCATAGCGGAAGGGTACGTTGAGCCAGTAGGAGTCGCGTTGGAAGCCAGTGGGCGATGTAACGCGGAGTGATTTCCGTGTTTTGACGTAGCTTGCCCACTCCGCCGACACAAACATGCTTGTGTAGAGAGCGTTTAGCGCGATATACAAGTATGAGAGGACCAGCTGAGGTGTGTTCGCCAAAAGTACGCCCGGAATCAGTGATGTGCTGAAGTCCATGAGATTGTTACCGTTGACTGTGGCAAACCCTGTCTTCCATAGCTTTACAGGGTCTTTCGGCATGCCTTCCAAGGAAAGTGCTATGCAGAGTCCACCGAGCCCAGCACTGATGGTGTATCTGAAAAGGTGAGTGGATGACCGCCAACGGCTTGCACACGACTTACGTAGAGTACGTCAACCACCATCGCGTCGTGCTCGGAGCTCTAGCCCACCTCCTTTTTCTCATTGTGAACCTCGCCGGCTCACTGCTGAGTGCTACTTTCGAAATGCTAGCGTATTCGTTCCAGTTCCATCGGAGACCAACGTCTCGTTTGGTGTGTAGGCAACGACCGTAGGTTTCGGGATCTGGATTTTCGAGAAATGCCGCGATCGCATCTCCTATGGTTACAAGCGCGCCATGATCCCAATACAGGCAGAGCAACAGTATCATACAGACTGCTTTGACGAAGTTGGCCACAACAACCGCAATGGCAATAGTAAAGCTGAATTGCAGCTTGCAAAACTCTTCGACTTGTTCGATAGTGCAGTATGCCACGGGTACTTCAAAAGGTTCCCACGCTGATCGATTGCTTGGTATTGCGGTCTCATCGTCAGGATCGCCTGCGTAGAGTCCTGTCAGTATATGATCTTCGTAGGTGGCGTATACTGGGTCTACTTACAGTTGACAGAAGGATGAGGAAGACAGCGCCACCCATTAGAAGGATACAGTTCTGGCGTACTCATCACCGGGAGTTGTTGGTTTGGAGCTTCGGTGACATATGTGTCGTTCTCGAGGTCCTGTTTCTTCGTTTCTAGTGTTTGAAACACCCATTCGAGAGAGCCGTTAGGATAACGTCGACCAATCCAGGCACTAGCGTCCCGCAGAACCGTCGGGCTTGCTTGGATCAAGTACAAATTCCCGACTGCTGAGACATACTGCGTGCCATATGCTGTAAGACATTCGGGTGTGCTGACGTTCCTGTATCCGGGCACCGTGGTGCCGTTCCTCAACACGACCACATCAGAGGGTTTGAATCTGTAATCCCTTACAGTTGAAGAGATCACTTCCTTTGCGCTCGTTCTGATATCCACAAAGCCCGAGGTGTCGTAAACGTTTTGCGTAGACATTACCCAGTCAGGCGTCGTCGGTATGACAGCATACTCATTTGCCTGCAGGTTTGTGAAGACAACGGAGTTGAACAACAAATGTAGCGGTACAGACGAGAGAAACAACAAAATCCACAAGACGGAGCGATCCCATCCAACATGCCATAGGTTGCGGAGATTAGGAACGCCGATGTGCAGCCAATTTCGCCGTGCGTGCGCACGCCCCAGCTCTTCTCGATTCGGCGCAGCAAGAATCTGTTGGCAGTAGTTCGAGCTGCACAGCAATAAGGTACTGAGTATATTCACGACCAGGTGGACGTAGACGTTCGATTGTCGAACAGTAGAGCAACTGCCTTGGAATAACGTCCCAACGCCATCCTCATGCTCGTAATCGGGGTTCTTCCAGACCCAGATTGTGACCGCGAGGTTCATGCTGAACACCGATATGGCGCAGGTAGCCGATGCGAGCGCACCCATGCGCCATCCTGTAAAGAAGCGCTTCTTCGTAGGGACGGGATAGCCAGGCGCCGGCGGTCTTGCCAGCAGGAGAAAGTCATCATCGTGGTATGCTTTGTCGTTGATCAGCTCGTAGGTAGGAGGCTTCGAGCTCGATGTATCCGATTCGCCATCGATTGTAGAGTTCTCGTACGGCTGGGCATCCGTGGATGCGGCTCTATTGCTATCTTGTTAGTCAGTACTACTCGTTGTTACACGAGATGGACTCGTACCTTGGGGACCTTCCTGCCCTGCGTGCATCTCCGGTCGGATCTTCTTGACCTTGCAGCTGCTCGTACATGCTGTCTAAGCGTCGAACGACCGTCGCGTGTAGCCCCAGAGGCGAGAGGTCTCAGAAAGCATGGGGAGTGCGACATCTTGTTGGGGGCCGACACAGCCTCACTACATCCTGATTCTCAACTCAACGGTGACGTTCCAGGGCTTGAGCTGGCGCCTGAATGGCATCGTTGGTGGCGTAGGCTGCATATGCATGTAGAAGCGTTGTGGACTTGGCGTCACAATACATGACTACACCAGGGTGTCTGAAGGCTTTTGAGACGCGTTTGACGCGTGGTTGTGCACCGAATGCGCGAACGTTGCGCGTGAGTGACCTCTCATGTCGAGGGCGTTGGAACCGGCTTGCGTATACGGCATACGATCTGTCTGAGTGGCCCTCTTCCCATCGAGTGCGCGAGCATGGCGAATTCGATTTGTGATAGTGATGGTGGCTGAAGGATGTCAGCAAGAAGCGTGCAGCGAGGGTGCGGCGTCCAAGCTCAAAGGCATGTGACGTCACAGAGTCATGTGCAATCAGGACGCACACAACGTTGTACTTGATCTTGAATGCTTGATGGCGTATCTGACAGCTCATTGTGTCTCCAAAATCATTAATTGTAAATCCGTCGTCCGCATACGGGAAAATTAGGGCAGGAGCATTCCGATCACGTGACAGGGACATGGCGCCGCACCTGCAGTTCACGGTACAAATCATAGAATCTAGAATGTCGTAACATACAGCGTAGTGTCGTGCACAATTACATTAATTGCATGCTCATCGTCTATCTAAATCAAGCTTCTCTTAACCCTACTAACAGCACTAGCACTCGGCGTGCTCGTAGGCGGCAAAGGAACATACTCCTCCGTATGCGTACTCTCCGCCGTCCCATTCGTACTATAATCATCCGTAACAACCACACTCCCATCCGCAATAACAACATGATCCAACACGCGCTTAAAATGCTCAAGACTAGCCACAGGCTGGTAATACGGCACCTCATGCCCCGCCTCATAGATCCTAGTAAACGAGAAATTACCATACTCGCGCACCTCACCATACTCAACGCCATCAACAAGGAAGGGAGTGTAGCCCGCAGCGCGGAAAGCTTCAGAGTCTGTGTAGTTGACAGCGAGGGAGACGGCTTCGCCGCCGAACCAGTTGCAGATGTAGTCTGCGTCGCCGTAGAGGAGGGCGACGCGCACGCCGTAGCTGAGGATCTCCTCGAGGTCTTCGAGGAAGTTGGGGAAGACAAAGTCGCCGGTCGTGGAGAAGCCGTAGGAGACGTTGGGGGCGTTGGTGCTGGTGTAGTTGATGTTTACGCCGATGGCTTCTTGCGTGGAAGCCAGGTTGAGGAAGTCTTCGAAGTAGTCCGGGGGCGTGGGGTCGTCGTAGGGGTGGCGGATGTCGTAGACGCCGCGGCCGCCGAAGGCGTAGTACGGCTCTTCGACGAGAGAGCGGCAGAGGTTGGTGGCCTCGGCGCAGGTAAGGTAGCCCTCTTCGGTGGTGCGGTCGGATTGCTTGCAGTAGTCGATTTGGTCGCGGCAGCCTCCGGGCATGTAGTAGGCGTTCTTCATGAAGGTGTAGACGGTGTCGTTGACTGCCTTGATGCCGTAGGTGTTGTTCACCGCAAACTCCGGGTAGTAGGGCGCCTGGATCTGCTCGTCGACGATACCGTTGATGACACCGAGAGTGTCCATCTCGACTTCGACACCGGCACATGAACCGTTCTTGATCTTCTGGTTTTGTTGATAGAAGTAGTTGTAGAACCCTGGGCCGTAGTGACCTCCGTAGCTGGTAACATATCAGCATTGCGTACATTTTGAGATGATCACATGACCTACCTCTCAGTCCAAAGGTTGAAAGTGAAGTTGGTGATATCGGGATCGAGCTGCGGGCTCAGCTCCAAGAAAGCCTGAAGAATGTGCCATGCACCAATGGCTGCAGCATCGGTAGTGTTGGCGGTATCTGGGTCGACGAGCGAGTAGCGACCATCCTCGTCGGTCTCGGTGGTTTCGTAAGAGAAACCCACACCAACGGGCTGAGAGAGATACAGCATGTTGCTGCGCTCGTTCCACGAGTAAGGGTTCAACTGTGTCTTGAGATCCTCGGTAACGTTGCAAGGGCCATGTTCCTGGAACAGACCAATGAGAGAGTCACTTCCGGGTCCTCCGTTCAACCACAAGGTCTGACAAGATGGTTAGTACACGCTTTGGTAACGCTTCACGAACAAGGTACTTACCAATGGCTTCTCGGACGGGTTCTCGCGAGCCTCGAAGAACCAGAAGAACATGTTCGTCGTCGGGTTGAGGCTGATGTAACCGGCATAGTCGTCGACACCCTCGGTGGTCTCGCACACACCCGCCTTGCCAGGCTGCTTGTACGTGATCTTAGCACCAGCAGCAGAAGTAATGGTCGTGACGCCGGTAGGGTCAGCGGGCACTTGGCGTTCCTTGATGAACGGCGCGCGAGCATTGGCTAGCGAAGCAGCGGCCAAAACGGCGGCGAGTTGAGCGAAGCGCGCCATGGTGGGAAGCTTGTCGGGAAGAAGAGCAACCAAGACTTCAGCGAATGCTTGCCCAGCAAAGTAGTGTCTTCCACCTCTTTATATACACGGCCTTACTACGAAGCCAAGCGGCTTTGCGTGCACCGGCTCACCTAGCTACGCATGCTTCTCGCGTATTTCAGCGCTGGGTCAACGTCAGACTACATGGTCGTATGCTGCGAGCCGCGGGTTGGGGCACAGGAAAGTAGTCTAGATCAGGCAACTGCGGACGTTCTGTGCAATTATTGGCCGGATAACGTGTCTCTGAAGATCCTCCGGCTGTGTGCTGGGAGCAGTGCTCAGGAAGTTCGGCTAGGATGTACCGGCACGTCCCTGGCGGGGAGATAGAGTGTGATTTGCTGTTTCACCTGCGCGACCATCAGGCATCCTTGTGCCATCTTCTTGCGCTCTTTTCTTCAAGCTGCAACTTCACCCGTCATGTTCGCACGCCCATTTCATCAAGTCCTTTGCTACAATATCGCGTTGACGTTGAAGCCTCGTATCCACAAGCCCCAAAGCTTGCTGCAGCGCGCATAATGAGCTCCTTACCCAAAGAAGAAGCTCGCTATGCACAGCGGCGGAACAAGGCCCTTTGCCAAGGCTTGTCTTGCTTGTTACCGGGCGGGCAAAGCTTATCGACGTCATGATTTCGGCGTGATATTGGACGGGGGGCTGGCACTGAGTTTGATGAGCCGTTCGCTGTCGATGGTGTGTGGAGGTGGAGGGAGGGGAAGAGGCCGGGAATTGCCCCGCCACATGCCGCAGCCCAGCCCTGTGCTGACTCCGACTGAGCGGTAGGCCTTAATTGTGGCTATGGCGACTGAGGCGATTACTTGGAACTGTAGGCTTTTTCCTGCATCAGGAAGTCAAATCGCATGGCTTGTTGCATTAGGGACTCGAGATGGCCAAGGCTTAGTTCAGATGGGTGAGTGGTGTCTGGTTGCACAGACCACTAGCAAGTGGCTGGGTGGGGACAATCGCAGTCAGCAAGTAGATCGCTCGCAATACGGGCAACACGGCACGGTATCTCGGTGTCTTGATGAACCAGGCTTCAAGCGGGTGAGTATCCAGGCGGGTACACGCGGCGATTACAGCAATTGGTCGCGTCTTCAGAGATCTTAGCTTGGAGTGAGCAATGTAGTTGGTGGCATTCACTAATGCTCTAATCTCCGGACATTGAGAGGTTTATGTGTGAAACACACACACAGAGGTTACTCCTACCCAGCGTACAATAGCCCATCCGCAGCTTCCGGGCTGGATTACGCAGTAATTCCAGCACTCGTCACACTCCTCCGCCTCGCCTCCTCCACATCACCACCAAAATACCTCGCAATTTCCACGTCCAACTCCCTGCCCATCAGCTTAGGCATCTCCTTCGCTTGCTTGACCGGGTTGATACCCATATGATGCGCGCTCGCAAAGATGACATCCAACTCTTCCAGACTGCGACCCTTGGGCTCTGGGAAGAAGAAGTAGACGCTGGGTATGAGGCAAGCATTGAAGACCGCGAACATCGTGTATGTGTTGTATTGCAGATTCGCGAACGCTGGGGGCGTGATCATGACGATGACGAAGTTGGAGATCCAGTTTGAGCAAGTAGAGAGTGCGTTTGCTTGGATGCGGATGCGGAGGTTGGTGATTTCGGCAGGGTAGAGCCATGTCATCCCTAGCCAACCGATTGCGAAAAACGTGTTGAAGGCGAACATGAACACCACAGCCGTGATGCCGTACTTTGGCTCTAGGACCGGAGCACCAAATTCGTTCTCGGTAGCTGTCGACACCATGCCGCTCATGATGGCCATGCTAGCCATCATGCCGAACGCACCGGATAGCATGAGTTTACGACGGCCAGCTCGTTCGATCAAAGGGATTGCGACTAGTCCGGCGAAGAAGTACTCGGTACCGTTGCAGGCGGACAGGAGACGAGACATGTCTGGGCCGAACCCGAGTGAGTTCTCGAAGACGTAGGTTGCGTAATAGGTCTGGGTGAAAGCAAGGTCAGTTTGTGGTTCACCACAGCGATATTTGAAGGTATACGTACGATGAGATTGATACCGCTGATCTGTTGGAAGAACTGCGATACAACACCCAATAGTGTGCGCCGAAGGTTCTGACTGGGACCGTTGTGCAGAAGCTCCTTCATCTTGAATGGACCATCCCTACTTTGCGCTTCCAGCGCGTCTTTGATGTTTGTGAGCTCCGTGTCGACTTCTTCCGCGTCCGCAGATGTACCGGCGAGGCGAGCAAGTAGGAGTCGGGCTTCAGTATAGCGGCCACGCATTACGAGCCATCTTGGCGAGTCGGGCAGGAAGCAAAGACCGATCCTAAGATGATGTTAGCGGGATACCGTGAATGCGGAAGAGGTATACATACATGACGAGGATAGTAAAGAAAGACTGGAAGACAATGGGGAACCTCCAGCGTACGGAGCTATAGCTCTCACCCGATGGGAGGAAGTAGAATCCATAAGTTACCCAGTACG